CCGGGCGCACTCCCTGGCCCGCCAGCTCAAGACGAAGCGGCGCCGCCGCGACCTGGACGAGATCCACGCCGACCTGCAGCCCGACAAGGCCGCCCGGCTGCTGCGGCAGGAGCCCGACCCCGACCTGCCGGGCTGCGCCCAGTTCTACTGCCTGCACTGCGCGGGGGGTTGGGGAGAGAGGGCTTTAACCCCTGGGGGTTGCCCTGGTGCTGGGGGGGCGTGGGATGTTTGTGCTGATCCTGGAGGGGGGGTGTCCCTGGGAGGGGGTTGCCCCAGTTGCCCTTGGGGGGGTTGCTTGAGCCCCTGGAAGGGGGGTTGCCATGGTCCTAAGGGGTCCCTGGAACCTGGGATGGGGTTTTCCTGGTCCTGGAGGGGGTTGTCTTGGTCCTGGAGGGGGTTATCTTGGTCCTGGAGGGGGTTCTTGGCTCCTTGGAGGAGGTTGACCTGGTCTTGAGGGGTCCCTGGAACCCGGGATGGGGTTGTCCTGGTCCTGGAGGGGGTTGTCTTCATCCTGGAGGGGGTTTCTGGCTGCTTGGAGGGGGTTGTCCTGGTCCTGAGGGATCCCTGGAACACGGGAGGGAGTTGTCCTGGTCCTGGAGGGAGTTGTCCTGGTCCTGGAGGGGGTTGTCCTGGTCCTGGGGGGGTTGTCTTGGTCCTGGAGGGAGTTCTTGGCTCCTTGGAGGCGGTTAACCTGGTCCTGAGGGGTCTCTGGAACCCGGGATGGGGTTTTCCTGGTCCTGGAGGGTGTCCCTGCCTCCTTGGAGGGGGTTGTCCTTGTCCTAGGGGGGTTTCCTGGCTCCTGGGGGAGACTGGTCCCAGCCAGGGGTCCTCTAGGCCTGGGAGGAGATTTTGTCCTGGTCTCGGGAAGGATCTAGGCCCTTGAGGGGAGCTTGTTGTGGTCTCAGTGGAGACCCTGTCCCGTGGGGGGGCTGGCCCCAGGGGTGTAGGGGGACCCTAGCCGAGGTGCTCTAGGCCTGGGAGGAGATCTTGTCCTGGTCTCGGGAAGGATCTAGACCCTTGAGGGGGGCTTGTTGTGGTCTCAGCGGAGACCCTGTCCCGTGGGGGACTGGCCCCAGGGGTGTAGGGGGACCCCAGCCCCTTGGTAGGGCTCTCCCCAGCCCTGCTGCCATCTCAGAGCCCCCTGACCCCCGGCCTCTTATCCCCCCCCAGGCGTTACTTCGTGGACCTGAACAGCATGAAGGAGCACTTCAGGTCCAAGGTGCACAAGAAGAGGTAAGGGGGGGGCCCGAGCAGGGTCTTGAGCCGCCCTATGGGTCCATGTCCCACCCCAGAGCGGGCTGCAGCCCCCCCAAACCCAGCCCCACTTCATCGGGGTGAGGCGGGTGGTGGGGCCGCTCTTATTTCGAGGAGCTGGGGTGGAAAGAAGGGGTGAAAGGCTTCAGCCCCCCCTTTCTCCCTTCTTCTCAGGCTGAAGCAGCTGCGGGAGGCACCCTACACGCAGGAGGAGGCAGAGCGCGCCGCTGGCATGGGCTCCTACATCCCCCCCAAGAAGGTGGAAGTGCAGACCCAGCCGCTGGAGGAGGTCGTGGAGATGGAGGCGTCCAGCTGAGCGTGGACTCTTTGAGGGCCTCTTTTGTCCTCCAGCTTTGTGAGAAAAACACGCCGTGGTGCAGCATCCCCCCAGCCAGCACCGCTCCTCCCCACCGCCCGCCTCGCCGGGGCACTAACGAGGAGAAGGAGCCAGCGAGACCCCGGGTGCCCTCGCTGCGTGTCCTCCTTTTCAGGGAAGGGGCAAGCTGCTTCCTCCCCAGCACTTGGCACGGCTGTACCCTCCTCTCTCCGCTTTTTAGAGCGGTTTTAGGCCTTTTTCTTCAGGCCAGAGGTTCACCCCGGTGAGTCACCCATTAAAATATGTTAACCAACAGGCTGGCAGTGTTGATTGCTCTCTGTGACCCAGGCCCTCTGGAGGGTGGCAGCCACCCCTCAGGGTGACAGACAACCTCTCGGTGGTGTGTTCTTCCTCATCTTAGATACCAGAAGTTCTTTGCTGTGAGGGTGGTGAGAGCCTGGCCCAGGTTGCCCAGAGAAGCTGTGGCTGCCCCATCCCTGGAGGGGTTCAAGGCCAGGTTGGAGGGGGCTTGGAGCAACCTGGGCTGGTGGGAGGTGTCCCTGCCCAGGGCAGGGGGGTGGAACTCAATGATCTTTAAGGTCCCTTCCAACCTGAACCATTCTATGATCATACAAAGGGAAATAAGTGCCAGCCTGGAGGAATGGCCCTCCTGGAGCTCCTGCCTTGGCAGGATGGTGAAGGTCCCTCTTGCTTTGCCCTCCTGGCAGGGGAATCCCAGCCTCCTGGTAGCAGATACAGGTAGATGCTTTTTTGGGGGGGATATGTGGTTGAGTAAACTCTTCATCAAGCATGTAGGAATGTAGTGAGCAGCTTGTTGTGATGCTGGCCCTGCCAGTTTGGTCCTTGAGTGGGGATTGTTGGTGTCCCCCCCAGCAGGGACACTTCTAGGCTCCTCCTGCCCCTTAAAACCCAGCGCCTCCAAGTGATTTCATCTTCCCGGAGGGCTGGGGCTGTGTGTGTGTGGCATCATCAGCCTCCCCCCACCATCGTGGCCACCAGCCTGATGCTGCTGTGACCCAGCTCTCGTGGGGGGGCCACGTTGTGTGACAATGTCACCCTCACCCTCTGCTATGAGTTCCCTCAGGGAGGGTCTCTCCAGTGCAGCCCTGGCAGCGAGAGCCAGGGATGGGGTGGCAGAAAGGCAGCACCACCACCACGCTGTGCTTGGAAGGAAAGGGTTTATTTATTTCCAGGAAAGGGTTTATTTCCAGGAAAGGGTTTATTTCCATGCAGCCAGCCTGGATTTGTGCCCCCCCCTCACCCCCCTGGGGAGACGGAGGAGACTAAATCCCTAAATCTAGCTGTTGGCATCTCTCTGCGTGGGCTCGGTGGGTGCGAGGGGGGCAGGAAGGTTGCAGACCCCATCCCAGCGGGGTGTCCCTGCCTGGGGGGCACATCAATGACCCCGTGGCCCCATCTTTCCCCCCCCCCGTCTCTCCAGTGCAGCCCTGGCAGCGAGAGCCAGGGATGGGGTGGCAGAAAGGCAGCACCACCACCACGCTGTGCTTGGAAGGAAAGGGTTTATTTATTTCCAGGAAAGGGTTTATTTCCAGGAAAGGGTTTATTTCCATGCAGCCAGCCTGGATTTGTGCCCCCCCCCTCACCCCCCCGGGGAGATGGAGGAGACTAAATCCCTAAATCTAGCTGTTGGCATCTCTCTGCGTGGGCTCGGTGGGTGCGAGGGGGGCAGGAAGGTTGCAGACCCCATCCCAGCGGGGTGTCCCTGCCTGGGGGGCACATCAATGACCCCGTGGCCCCATCTTTCCCCCCCCCC